CCGAGGCTGTTCGGTCGGGCCCGGCGCCCGCCGGGCCGTGCTTTCCTCCTGCTCGGCGAACGGTGCTAACGCTGGGGCTGGGGGCGGGGAGCTTTTCTGCCCCTGGCCCGTGCAACAGCCCCGGCGGTGTCCTTGTGTTTATTCCCGGCTTTTCGCGGGGATGGAACTGTCGCTTTAATCTCTTGCTGAGTCCTGCCTGCTCTTCTGCCCCTTTTGCAGGTTCTTACAATGGCTGAAGAGCTGGGAGCGGTGGTTGCCAGCCAGACAAAGAGACTGACGAGCAGCAGCGAGGAGCCTGAGAAGCTAGAAGAAAACGGACACCAACCCAAAAGGTTGAAGAGAGATGTGGATGAGGAGGATGTGGAGGATCAGAATAAAAAGTCACCCAAAAGGAAGATTGTGCTGTTGATGGCATATTCAGGGAAGGGCTACCATGGGATGCAAGTATGTGGTTTAGCGAGACAACGCAGCCTTCTTTTCTTAGAGTCTGTCAGGTCCACAGCTGCGGTCAGAACGATTGGGTAGGGAAGCAGTTGCGGTTTCTAAAAGCTGGCGCAGGTGCAGTCCAAGCCTCGATTCAAACAGCTTAGCAGTAGCTTGAAGAACGAAAGTTAAAAAGTCAGTCATACGTTTCTGATGTTTGATTCTAGTGCATCTGCCTTCATGTTAGCGCATCAACAGCAAGTCTTTTAGCAAACCTGAAAGCACTGGCTCTGCAGCTCTGTCAAGGGTTGAAGTGCTGTTTCATGATCCCCTTCTGACCAGTTGTCCAGTTTCTGGCTGAAGCTTTATGTTTCAGAGCAGGTGGGCTGAGTTTTCTTTAGGTTCTGCCTCAGGTTGTCTCATGACATTATGCAAAACATCCAGATTCTTGAGACCCGAGCTGCATGTTTTAATGAAACATTTATCATCTTTTTTGCCTTCTCTTGATTTTTGAGTTTGTACTTGAAGACATTCTAAATTGTCCTTTGCTGATGCGCTGTAGTGTGGTCGCTTACAGCAGCTTAGAAACAGGAAAACTGGTGCAACGCTATTATGTTTACATGCAGAGGAAAAGGGATGTTGCATTGACAATATTAGCATATCGGTATATTAGCAGTGCCCCAGCACTAGACCAGCCAGTGCAGTGACCTTTCTTGTGGCACACAGCAGCAAAAGGATGATACTGCTCCATCTGCTGCTCCGCTCAGCATACTGCAAGCTCCATACACGTTCCTGAGGCACGCTTTAAAAGCTCCATGGAATAATGGATAATGATTGAACACAGGCAGGGGATGAGTCTTTCCTGTTTATGCAACAAGGTAGATTTGTTCAACTGCAGTAAACCTTACGCTTGTGCCTACATCTGTATAAGTGCCTGTCAGTTTTAGTGCACTTGTAATTGAATAGCATGTGCTGGAGGGTGTGTGCTTGGCAGCCTCGCAGGGAAGTAGAGTTATACGTTTCTGTTATAGTTCATCTACAAGTTTAGCGCAGAAGATGATGGCGAACGCTGTAGTCTGACTTACGCAAGAGCTCTGGGTAACTGAACAAAAGAATTCAGTCTAATTTCCAGAAGCAGAATTTGCAGGTGCTAAGTTTGGAGTGGCAGTGGTTACTGTTCCAGGCTGTACACTAGAACAGTATCTCATTGGTGCTGGTTCATACGCTACGGCGAGTGAATCATCAAAAAATGGCATTGCAGAAGCATTCCACAGTTAAATTAGAGATGTCCTTTTACTTGCAATAGTAGTAAAAGTTAAATGAGAATGTAGGTATTTTATTAACAATATCTGGTGAAGTATAGTTAGTTTTGTTAGAGAATGGCAGTGCTTGTAGGGTTGTGAAAGGACAACATTAAACAATATTGTAACAGCGTAATGTTGGTCAGTGCTGATCTTCAGGATGTTTACCTAATTATTAATGTTCTATTTCTTATGTTTACTATATCTTTCCTCTTCTTCTAGAGAAATTTGGGATCTTCACAGTTCAAGACAATTGAAGATGACTTAGTATCTGCCCTTGTTCAGTCAGGCTGCATCCCAGAAAACCATGGGGAAGACATGAAGAAAATGTCTTTCCAGCGATGTGCTCGGACAGATAAGGTACGCTGGCTGGGGCCTGTGCTCTCGTAAAACGTGGTGTACCTTAGCCAGTGCTGTTGTGATTGACTGGTAAAGTGTTGTCCGGAGTGCTATCCAATAGTAAACATTATTCAGAATGGATGTTATTTAAAACTTCTTCCTTCATCCACTATTAGAGTTAAGTACAAAAAAAACATCTACAAAGTGCAAGGTATTGACTGGATAGTGTTTGTAAAGCTAGCGCTTCATGTTTTGGCTGTGTCTGTCTGCATTTCTATCACGATCATCTGTTTCAGGCTCCCAACCTGCTGCTGCTCCTCATTGTTGGCGCTGCCTGGTTCATGTGGAGCTTGAGAGTTTAAAACTGCATTTCGGTCAGTCTTAAGCCTGCCACAGTGGGGTTCTAGCCCTAAACTGTAGTTCATGGCTGATCCTATGTGTAAATAAGTTGTTGTTGTTGTTGTTTTTCAGTTCATATTTAATAGCAGTCAAATACAGTGAGATGTCATGGAAGGGAGTGAAACATTTTGTTGCCTAGGATTGCTAAGGTGCTGTATGGCTATACAGCACAAGCAGGTTAAATTGTACAGCTCACCTGCAAGGTAGTGGATGTGTTTTTGTGGTTGAAATGCAGATCTGAGAGAAGAGTCTGTTCATGGCTTTGCTACTGGCTTCTCTGCGACTTAAGCAAGCCCCTTGTTCTTGGTCAACTTAGTTTCAACTGTGGGGTGGGGAAACACTGTACAAAAGTGAAGTTGAGGTCTTTCAGGAGTAATCTGACTTGGATTTCTGCCTGTGGTCTTGTCTTTGCCTCACTTCAGCCTGAAAAGAGCAGTGAGAAAAAGGGATTAAACTCATTCTACAGCTATATCAATTTTGCAGGTGCTGCCCCAGAGCTTCCAAAGTACATAATTTATTACCTCTGTGTATGTTCTGTGGCTTTTATAGGGTGTATCTGCAGCTGGACAGATTGTGTCGCTAAAGGTCAGGCTAATAGATGACATCTTAGAAAAGATCAATAACCATCTTCCTTCTCACATCAGAATTCTGGGTAAGGATACTGGAACAGGCAAAGAAAATGTTTTCAGAGAGGAACTCTCTCCTGAAGAAGGTCACTCCCCTACCGTTATAACTTTAACCTGAATCCATATGTTTCTATTATTTTAAAATTAGTGTCCTATAAAATAAATCTTACATTTTTATTGTGATTGCATTTTTTAAATAACATACATTCTGGTTGTAACCTACTGATTCAAAAACTTACTGTTACTTTTAAAATAAGGGCTGAAGAGAGTCACTGGGGGATTCAACTCCAAGAACAAATGTGATGCCAGAACCTACTCTTACATGCTGCCAACATTTGCCTTTGCCCATAAAGACCATGATGTGCAAGAGGAGGCTTATCGACTGAACAAAGAGACCCTTGAAAAAGTCAACAAACTGCTCGCCTGTTACAAAGGAACACACAACTTCCACAACTTTACATCTCAGAAGGGACCCAAAGACCCTAGTGCCAAGCGATACATAATGGAAATGTACTGTGGAGAGCCATTTGTGAGGGAAAACATAGAATTTGCAGTGATCAGAGTGAAAGGTCAGAGTTTCATGATGCACCAAATAAGGAAGATGATTGGGCTGGTGATAGCTATTGTGAAAGGTTACGCTGCTGAGTCGGTCATAGAGCGCAGCTGGGGAGAAGAGAAAGTAGATGTTCCCAAAGCTCCAGGACTTGGGCTGGTCTTGGAAAGAGTACACTTTGAAAAATACAACAGACGTTTTGGAAATGATGGGCTGCATGAGCCACTGGAGTGGAGAGAGGAGGAGGAGAAGATTGCTGTTTTCAAAGAGCAGTATATCTATCCTACTATTATCAACACAGAAAGGGAAGAGAAGTCCATGATGAACTGGCTGAACACCCTCTCCATTCATGACTTCAACTGTTCTGCTGCTGGGATGCAAGCTAACAACAAAAATTCAAAGGTAAAGATTGAAGCTATTACCTTCTCAAAGAGAAGCTGTCAACTTAAAATGGCTCTTCCGTTTTTGTTTTCCCGTGGAAGATGACAGTCATCTGGAGCCTGAAATGTGTTTTATCTTTTCAGTCTTTGCACGCTTGATGACAGTGGAAGCAACTACACAAAGTGTTATTTTTGTAGGGTTTTGAATGGGGCAGTTGAGGGAGGAGGAGGGAATATTTTAAAACACAAGCTGATTTGATTGCAGAATCACAAATTGGCGACAGAAATTGTGGACGCATAACTAGCTTTTGCTATTGTGAATCTGTTTAATGGAGACTAGTTTTCAGGTGACACGTGACCCTTTTAATACCTGCTAGCCTTGTAAATTCTCTGTGGGCTAATTCTAATTTTGCCTAATGCCCTGTTTGCCTAAATAAGGTTTGGAATCAGTGGGCGGGGGGGTGGAATTTAGGACCTGCTTTTCAGTAAATCTACTATGAGCTCAAAATCAGTCATCAGAAAAATCTCCTAGCACGTAAAATGGGATGTTGTGAGATCTGATTTCTGACAGCAGGAACTGCTGTCAGCTGTAATGCACTATAAAACAGAAGCACAGAGTACATGCTTAACCAGAAGAAACTTTCAGTTTAAGTTAAAGAATTATTTTTCTGGCACATCTGTTGAGATGTTGAGTAGGCTCACAGGAAAAGAGAGGGAAGATGTTTGGGGCGTGCTAGAAGTTGGAAACCATACAATGAATCTTGAGTCACACTTGCAAAATATTTTTTTTAATTGACAACCACTGGAGTGACAATTAACATACAGTAGTGCTTGATTGGACAAATCGCTGATCAACCCAATTTAACTTTGAAGGAAGCCCTGCCTGAGGAGGGTATTGGACTGAGCAGGGTACACGACTCAAAGATACCTACCTAACAGCTCTGTGCGTAATTCAAATTTTCTTGGTTAGAGAGCTGGCAAATCCTTGAAGAACAAATTGATGGGCAGGGCTAAAACTTTTGTGAAGTGCAACTCAGAAGAAAATAATGACTTCTTCAGTTTAACGGAGTCTTTAAAATTAGGTTTATTTTATTTAGAGAATGTTAGACGGTTAGATTATAATGTTAAGAAGGTTAGATTATAAATCCTGTCTGTCTCTGCCATTTTTTGGTTTTAGTATGACACAGTTTCAACATGCAAAATAAAATTTACAGCCTGTTGAATAGCACAAGCAAGATACCAGAAATTTCTCTGGGTTATTTTTGTATTTCTGGTAACTGTTTTTCTGCAGCGTAGTGCTGTATGAGAACACTCATGACAAGAGCTAAAATGCTTACAACAAATGCCACATTAGTTTGGTGAAATGGGACCCAAAGAGAATATGTGGTGCGGAGAGTGCTTACCTGGCTCAGGTGTCTTGATGACAGTGCTGAGAGGGCTTATTGCTGACATGTTCAAAATCACTGAGGTATTGCTAGCAGGAGATAAGCTTGCTTGCTTTAGATAAACTCAGGCAAATACAGTTTTGGAGTCATAATTACCACAGGCAGTCTGAGGAAGGATAAGTAGGGGATCATATGACAGACTCCTTTAAGATCTTGCAGGTTATTTTCACTTTGACGAGCTATGCTCGCTGTTATGAAGGCAACTATTTGAGTGTCTCAGAATTTGTTTTGTAATAGGATGTTACACTGTCAGTATTAAGATCATGGACTTTGGAGTATTTTTTCTTTGTTTACAACAAGTGGTGGTTGAAGAAAAGGAATATCTGCAGTCACGTTGTGATGTTAACCTTTCTTTATCGATCCCTTGGCTCCAATCTCATCAGTCTAAATACTGGCTTTAAAAAGTTAACGTAATTCCCCCAAATTTATCTGATCGTATTGACTTACTCCTGAAAGAGCGGCTCCCAGTTAAGAACTCGGACTTCAGACCAGTTCCTTTGTAACTTGCTAATATTTATATTATTTTTGTAATACTATTCTGTACAACTGACTTTATTTTTAAACAATGTATTTGTGATCTCTAATACATTTTGGATGTAAATTCTGCATGACTGTCTGCAGCAGGTGAGCAAAATTCTTAAATCTGGCTTTAGATAATGTAACAAACGTAGCTTTTGAGTGACTTCCAGGGGAAAAAAAGCACTTGCAAGTCTGTCTCACCTGCATTTATTTTGAACATCAGCATTTCATGCTGTTATCTGCTTTTAAGTGTCCCACATACTGCAGGTTGTAATCATGCAGTTGTAAATATAACTGAAAAGAGAATTCTGCTGTTGAGTGTAATCCAGTGTACAATTTGTCTGCCACAAGAAACTTAATTTACCATCACAGAAGTTTATTACAATAGATGGCCGTGAGGTTAGGCTCTTGCCCCATTTCCTCATGCTTTTGGAGAAGTTTAAAGTCAGTGTGTTTGTTTTAGGTCAGTCGCTAGAAATAAATGAAAGGCTGACAAACCGTTTTTCCTTTTGCTTTTCAGAACGGCAGTGATCTGGAAGGCAGTGATGGTTGTGATGACGATTCTGAGTAAGTCAGTAAGTGGCTGGACCTGGGGCCCTTTCCTCTTGCAATTCGCTCTCTGTAGAAAAAAGCGGCCTTTCTAAATCCAAGAATCCAGTAAAGCAGAGGTTTGCATGCATGCAGAACAGGAAATCAGATGCCCAGGAGAAACTGGGTGGGGAAAACTGCAGAAGAAAAAGTAGAAAAAGCTGTTTATACCACTGACTGATTCATCTGACTGGAATACTTGAAAATAATGTAACGAGACAGATGCTTTCAAAAAGAATCTTGTAATGCAAGAAATCTTAATTGCTATTTGAATAATGTTTTTATTACGTGTTTACCTGGAAAATAGTATTTTAAGTATGTACAATGGCTACATATAGATGGGGCAAAACATTTTAATCTACATTTTTTGATCATTATTAAGCAGTTATGACTCCATGAACTTTTGACGGTTTTAAAATTTTCTTCACCTTTAATGAACCTGATCTCCAAACACTAAGCTCTTGTTTTATTTTTCTATGTCATCCATGGCTTTCTGGTGGAATAACATGTATGGGTTAGCAATGCATTATCATGTTGACTGTTCTGAATTTTGTTGCCATTGAATCAAATTTTCTGTGTTTTTTAAAGCTTTGCAAGCCTAAAAAGAATTAAGAGTCCTTACTCAGTGAGAGCTCTTAATTTTGGAAAGTGGACTGAACCATATATTTTTAAGACCAGACCTTTTATTTGGAAGATGTCGTCATCCCAATATTGCCCTTATAGTTGGGCAGAGTCAAGAATGTAGATCCGCGGCTACAAATGTCATTGGACCTCTCCTGCCTGAGGTATTGTTTCATAGACCTTTTGTTGAAATCTGAGGAGAAAACAAAATTAAATGTTAGGATTGCAAACCAAAGTGTGCAGCTGTGAAAGTCTATGTTGCCTGTGTGGATCACTAAATGTGTTGCTGCTAGTTTGTTTTTGCTTTTAGTGGAAACTAGCTAGCTGTCCGCTAGATTTTTGGGTTGAATCAACTTAATGTGTGAAAGCAATGGTTCATATTTTCTCTGGGCTTTAATCAAGTCTGCATTCACTTTTTACTTCCCATGAAGCTGCTCAGAATAGAGGAATTTGTGCAATGCTATGGGAAGCATATGTCTAAGGACTGTGTTCCTCTGGGAATCAATTTTTGTTTTCTGGGGATCTGCACACTTTGGAGTTCTTGCTCTCCTTTCCTCAACTGTGGCTTGAGCTCTAGTTCTTGGTCACAACTGTCTGAGGAGGTGGTAGGAGAAAAAATGAGTAACATTAGCAGCCCTTCTGCCCTCCCGAACTGTAGAACACTTTGTAAAGTGGGTGAGAGTCTCTCCATGTGTTTGGGTTTTAGTACGCTTGCTTGATAAACTTCCCTCTTGGGTTTGTATGGAGACCTGCTTCATAATATAAAAGCTCACCACCTGTGACAAATTCCTAAGGTAGAAAAGCAGTGGTCTTTCTTTTCACTTAGATAGGCAAACAAGCACAGTTGTCCTGTCAGCTCAGGACACAGCTCACCACTCTGTGCCTAAGGATGTGAACCAAACCTTGTGGTCCATACGGAACGTGGTAGTTCCTTTTTGGAGCTGTTGACTCTTTGCTCATTTATTCAGCGATTTCTACCCAAGGCCTCTGGTTCTAAGGCTCCTTCTAGAAATTGTTTTTGCCAGAGCAGTCTGTCCTTTAAAAAGGATTTGCTTGTTTCTTCTGAGTTTTCGTTCAAGTTTACATTTTTATCTTGAAGGCCTTGCTCTTTGTTTTATCAGAGTGGGACGGTAAGAGATATCTCTGAGTGTTCTGGAGAGGGACTCTACCTAGACTTTTAGTTTCATCCCTTGCCAGTTTGTACAATTGATCCAGACCTAACAGTCTTCTCTCCAAAGCTCTGTCTTTCTATCCCTTTCAATCTGAGAGAAATACCTTTGTTTGCTCATAATAAAGCCCCCCAAACTGACACATGTGTCTCCGTTGAAATCATTGGGAATTTCTGTTGATAGCCTTTGGAGAAAACAAAATTAAAAAATGGATATTTGTTACCTTTTAGTAGGGGTACTGTTTTATTTTGTGAGAAAATTATTAACTTAGTGTTTCAAGTCTGATTGCAGTGCAGTTAAAGGGCTTTATGGCTCAGGAACTGAATTTAAAAAAGAAAAAGCGTCTCAGAGTCCAAAACGGAATCTCCTGCAATACTGAATGAATCTGAATGTTCTGACTTGACCGAGGAACAATTTAATTTAAAGCGCCGACATTGAGATAAAAACAAGGGCTAGGTTTATTGAAAGAGAGCAAAGTAAGTTTTGCTGTGGAAACAAAGTACAGAAGAGGTACAGACCTCCAGGTAGAGTACCGCTGCTCTGGAAGAGACCGCCTGCGCAGGGAGGCCAGCGCTGAGCAGGGCAGGCTCCGCACGGGGCGAGCGGCCTGCTCTGAGGCACCACTTCAGGCCGCCCGCGTTTTATCTAGGGACAGGAACCCGCATCCGGACCCCACGCAGCAAACGGGTTCCTTGGGGCTCTTTACGGTGCTTTCAATGTGGCTTTCAAGCCGCCTAAGGCCACGCGGCTGCGTTTCAAGGGAAACGCAGTTCCTCTCTGCGAACCTAACGGTTCCTGAGGGGAGCGCGGCGGGGGGCGGCGCGCACGCGCCGTTCCCGGCGGTCTCGCCCATCCCTTTGGAGGGGGGCGCGCCCTCCGCCTGCAGTGGTATCCCCCG